TCAGTGGTGACTTTAACCACTTTCATGTTTTTCAAGCACATTGTATAATTCGAGTCAGGAATCTGCTCAGAAATACAGCAGGTTTCAAAGAGTTCAGTTCAAGATGGGGAAGGGTATGGCAGAGCAGCCTACAACACAGAAGGCAAGAAACAGACGGACTGGGGGCCATCTTGTAAGGAATGACTTGAGCCTGACATGTTTCTCAGTGTTTCATTGTACGTACTCAGGAATCCCATGACCCACTGAAATGGATGCTACTGTTGCACACGCAGCATCTATGTACTTCTCTACTCCTCTACTTTTCATAGATAGTCCAAATTTCATGCACCCTACCAGAAGATCTGTGTCCTTCAAGAGAGGCTGGCTCCCTCCTCGGTGCTGGGATCTTAATTGGCATGAACCTATCTAGGAGGCCTTCCCTACATCCATTGCCTAAGCATATGCAATTACAGCAATTTTAGCCAATGAGACACAAGGAGAAAATCTGTTTGACAAGCGTTTTCCTTAGCCTTGAAACAGAAAAAGAGCAGTGTGACACCATCTGTCACCGGACCTGAGAGCACCACCTGGGGATCAGAAAAGGAAACCAGACCAGAGAACAACCAAGCACATAGATGGCAGACCTCGAACAGGCAGACATCTAGAGACTAACCAACATTGTCGGGAGGTGACTTCTCATAAAGCAAGGCCTGGCAATCTCTGCTGTACACTGCTTGGATTCATTGCCATGGACCTGTGAGCAACAAAACGTTGCTCTAATATCTATGCCTTTAGAGTGGTATGTTATCCAACAATAGGCAACAAACACCAAGCAGTATTATTCTGACAAAACACACCTACACACACACACACAGATAAGAGTTTATTTGGAAGCCAAATATGAGTGGTCATGGCCAGGGAACACAGATTTAGGCCACCCCAAATTAAATGTTCCAATGTGGAAGCAGTTTCATGGAGTTCATATAGCAACAGAACAAAGAAAGTCATGAACATCAAGACACGTTTTAAGTACATTGACAGACATCAATTAGCTAACTAAGTTAATACATTTCAATGGAAAACTAGTGGTCTATACATTCCAAATGATGTAACTACTGGTCACAAAGCTATTAAGTCAGATACACAGGAGAATAATATATGGCTATTAGAGGGCTAAAGATGGCCCAAGATAATTTGGATCTAACCTGCAACATCCCAAACTCTCCAAGTCACTGAAGTTCCCATCAGTTGATCAGCCTTGCAAAAGTTAATTTAAGGTAGCTTTTTTTCTGAGAAGTTTTGCTCAAACTTATCGATTGCTATTTTTAAATTGCTATTATTTCACAATGCCTATGATTATTGAGTTATTGTTAGTTCTAGAGCCTAATGGATATTGTTTCCAAATATCTGATTTACGTGTTAGCTCACAAAAGAGAACTTACTGTTTCTATGTTATCACTTTGTTACTCTTTTTATTAACATTTTAAAAACAAATACAAGCTGGGGCTGGAGAAATGGCTCGCCAGTTAAGAACATGAGCTGTTCTTCCAGAGAACTTCCATCCATTCCCACATGGGGGCTCACATTACCTGTAACTCCAGTTCCAAGGGACCCAAGGGTCGCACACACATGCAATATATATAAACACACACACACACAAATACACATATATAATAAAAGTAAGTATTTTCAAATGAAGACAGAGGAGCCTGGAAAGAAGGGGTGAAAAGCACTTGCTGCTTTTGCTGAGAGGGTTCCCAGTACCTACACACACAGCCACTGTCACTCCAGTCCCAGGGGATACAACGCCCTCCTCTGGCCCCTGCCAGCAATGCCTGGTATAAATAAATACACACATAGTTAAGACATTTATACACATAAACAATATTTGAAAAAAAAACCCCGATTTTGAAGCGTGTCTGGAACCCGAGTCTGTTTGAACCAGACTGGAGCGCCGGAATCCGGGCAGCTCGGCTGTGTGCACTGACTGGGGCTGCGCACGGGGGAACCAGGCGGCTGCCAGGCCGAGCCGCACGACTGAAACCCCGAAACCCCTTGCTCGGTGCATTCAGCCATAGGTTTGCTCTTGTCAGAGGTCACGAGAAGCGGCTGTTACCACAGGAAAACTGGGAGAGCGAGGAGGCGGCAGGGGGCGGAGGCGGGTGGGAGACCCCCACGTGGGAGGGGGCCTTTGTGTGCGTGCGTGCGTGCGTGCGGAAGGGGCGGGGCCGGCGGAGTCCGACGCGCGCGAGCGGAAGGGGCGGGGCCGCGCCGCGGGTCTTTGTGGCCGCTGGGCGCCGCCGTGGCCGCTCGTGCACCGCGGCGCTGCCGGAGGGAAGGCGGGTGACACGTCCCGGGCCTGTCGAGGCCGCGCGCGCAGCCGCCGCTTTGCGTGGGGACAGCCCGGTGATGTCCCCCGAGGCACGCGCCTACGCTGTGCTTTAACCCGGAAGCGAAAAGCAGGCGAGTGCGGCGGGCTGCGGCGGGAGACGGGTTGGTGGCGGGGGCCGCGTTAGCCTGGACGGGGAGCGGGGTGTCGTCGGCGCCCGGTGCCTTCCTCGCGGATCCCGAGAGGGGCGGAGCGGCCGGGGCGAGGGCGGGAGGCCGCGGTGGCAGAGGAGACTTGACAGGGGCCAGGCTTGTCTGGTAGGGGAGTGGGGCCGGGTTAATGTGTGAGCTGGGACACTCTCGGCCCGGGCAGTGGGTGGTGGCTGGGGAGGCTGCTCATTCTGCGGCCAGCCAGTGCGCTTGGAGCCGGGTTTTAACAATTGAAGGGCATACAGGTCCCTGCATGCACTACCCTCTACATATACTATCCCCTGCGTGCACTACCCTCTACATATACTATCCCCTGCGTGCACTATCCCCTGCATGCACTACTCTCTACATATACTATCCCCTGCATGCACTACTCTCTACATATACTATCCCCTGCGTGCACTACCCTCTACATATGCTATCCCCTGCGTGCACTACTCTCTACATATACTATCCCCTGCATGCACTACCCTCTACATATGCTATCCCCTGCGTGCACTACCCTCTACATATACTATCCCCTGCGTGCACTATCCCCTGCATGCACTACTCTCTACATATACTATCCCCTGCGTGCACTACTCTCTACATATACTATCCCCTGCATGCACTACCCCCTGCATGCACTACCCCCTGCGTGCACTACCCCCTGCATGCACTACCCCCTGCATGCACTACCCCCTGCGTGCACTACCCCCTGCGTGCACTACCCCCTGCGTGCACTATCCCCTGCGTGCACTACCCCCTGCGTGCACTATCCCCTGCGTGCACTATCCCCTGCATGCACTACCCCCTGCATGCACTACCCCCTGCGTGCACTAACCCCTGCGTGCACTACCCCCTGCATGCACTACCCCCTGCGTGCACTAACCCCTGCGTGCACTACCCTCTACATATACTATCCCCTGCATGCACTACCCCCTGCATGCACTACCCCCTGCATGCACTACCCCCTGCGTGCACTACCCCCTGCGTGCACTACCCCCTGCGTGCACTACCCCCTGCGTGCACTATCCCCTGCGTGCACTACCCCCTGCGTGCACTATCCCCTGCATGCACTACCCTCTACATATACTATCCCCTGCATGCACTACCCTCTACATGTCCCCTGCATGTGCTACTCTCTACATATTCTATCCCTTGCATGTACTACCCCCTGCAATCTTCAGGTCGTGTTTGCTTTATTTCCCAAGTCTAGTATGTGGTGACTACCATATTTCCATTGAATTTAGACTACCGCAGCTTTTGAGAACTTGAGTTGACTCTTTACGTCCATAATGACTTTTTTTTTTTTTTTAAATCCAAGCTAAGTATTTTTCAGTTACTGAATTCCTCACTAAATTCATTCAGAAAGCCAGACTTTTCCATAATACTGGCTCAAAAGAAAGCTCATACGCACTAAGTGCCTCCATGTTCATTGAAAAATTCATTATACTAATGGGACCAAATGGCAAATATCCAGCAATATTTTATTTAAACAAATCCATGTTTAGTGGGGATTTTGAAATGTTACTACCTTAAATGTAGACCAACACTACCTGCTATAATAAACAGTAACTTAGAAATTAAGCTAGCATCAGATTATGCCAAAAGCAGGGCATGGGGTTGGATGCCTTTAATCGTTGCACTGCAGAGGCAGAGGCAGGAGGATCTCTGTTAGTTCAAGGCCACCATAGCCTACATAGCAGGCTCCATGACTAAATAGACCCCATCTCAAAAAAAAAAAAAAAAAAAGGAAAAAGGAAAAAAAAATCTGCCAGAGTATTATTATCCTTAGTCTCATTAAAATTTTGTGTGGCTGGGGATATAGCCATGTGATAGTATGCTTGCTTGTCTGGCATGGTGAAGAGCCTGAGTTCAAGTCCCAGCACTGTCAAAGCAGGACAAGGGTGCAGCTTAGTAGGAAAGTGTCTACCATTCCCAAGGCCCTGAGTTCATTCCCAGCCCTGAAAAATGTTCTAGTTTACATGTGGAGTAAAGAATGTAATCAGAACTGAAACAATTGAAAAGGAAATAATCCCACTATGTAATTCATGTTCATATTTCATTCTTACACTTGTAAAAAATTTTTCTGTAATTAGTAGTAGGAATTTTACACAGTAGTAGGTGTTGGAAAACAGAAGTCTGCTGACCCCGCCCCCTGAAGATGAGCAGGACAAGCATGGCCATGTTGCTATGTCACTCATTACCGGGCTGCATAGGGGACTCAGTTTCCCTTTTAAAGCAAGCCCGCCCCCCCTTCCTCTCTTCCTCTCTCTGTCTCTCTCCTGCTTTTGGTTGGCCACCAGCTTACCCCACCCTCCCTTCTCTCCTCTCCACCAATAAGCTCCACGTGGGCACTGAGTCTCGTGTTTGTTTCATAGGTGATAACTGTAACAAAAGAACAACATTTTGGTGCTATAATCTTAATACTTTTGACTGATTTGTAATCTTAAACCTGTTTCCTTTCAAAATGTTACAAGTTTTTAGAGATTTCTCTTCCTATGCTATAAGTTAATAGTGTTTTCATATCTTGTAGGATCCTCCCCAAACACAAAACCCAGTTGTACTAAGGTGTTTGTGAGCTATTTCAGCCCAGAATGGCTATGGAATCCAGAGCAATTTCAACTTTAAAACCTCAGGATCAAGAAGAAGATGAATTAATACTAGTCAAAATAGAAGATAGTTTTTCCTGGAGTCAGAAATGTAAACAGAATGGGAGTACCCAGTCTTGCCAAGAATTGTTTCGTCAGCAATTCAGGAAGTTTTGCTACCATGAAACCCCTGGGCCCCGAGAGGCCCTGGGCCGACTCCAGGAACTTTGTTACCAGTGGCTGATGCCAGAGTTGCACACAAAGGAGCAGATCCTAGAACTGCTAGTGCTGGAGCAGTTTCTGAGCATCTTACCTGAGGAACTGAAGATATGGGTTCAGCAGCATGGGCCAAGAAGTGGTGAGGAAGCTGTGACCCTGCTGGAGGATTTGGAGAAAGAGTTTGATGATCAAGGGCAGCAGGTGGGGACAGAGATATGATGTGTTGTTGGGGAAAAAAATTGCAGCCTACTGTATGTAGTATCTTACCTGATTAAAATGTCTCTGAGGAACCACAACCTTGATATAACAATAGCACACACCTATCTCTGCACTCCTTCCCCCAGTCCATCAGCTGTGGTAGTGGCCTTATTAGGCTGCTTGAGATTTTTACTCATCATATTTTACTGGTTTCAGGTCCCAGATAGTCCACAAGGACCATCAGTGTCATGGAAAGACTTGACATATCTCAAAGCATCCCAAGATTCAACAAGCATCCAAGTCCGGCCTTTGAAGACACAACTGAAATCCTGGAAATCTTGCCTTTCCTCTAACAGTGGTATGAATAGAAACTTACCTTCAAGTTTATGTAAGTTAGGCCTCTGGTTTTGAAGATGCAGACTTGCATTTATAAATGTGTTGCATGTGAACATCACTTGTATTAATGAAAACCAGAGAGCTCACTTCAGCAGCCTTGTATTCAGTGACCATCATGAATTGCAAGCATCCTTCCTTGTATGAGTTTCCCTGTCACTGATTCACTTAATCATTTTATAACTTTGTAGAGTGCTAAAAATGTCTAATGCTGTAGTAGATATGTTTCCATTTTCAAGGAACTTTGAGGCCTTCATGAGTGGTTCACAAGAAAGCAGATGCTTGCTAATGCAGTAAATTATGGAATACAAGTAGTCACTGTGTGGGTACTGTGGCAGCACATAAAATGACGCCAAATCTGATAGATCAAGGAGGGTTGGAGAGTTGGCCCAATGGCTAATGAGTATTTGTTGCTGGATTCAATTCCTAACACCCATGTGGCAACTTACAACTGTAATTCCAAATCCAACACCCTTTTCTGACCTGTGGCACCATGTATACACTTGGTGCATAACATATATGCCAAAACACTCATACACATGAAATAATCTTTAAAAAAAATTTTTTAAAGAAATATTCAAGGAATGACTACTTCCTGGAGGAAGAAACACCTAAGCTGTAATTCGAACTATGAGTAGGAGAAAGCCAGGTAATAGGTAGTAAAAGCCATTAAGGTGAGAGAATAAAGCCATCATGGAAACTATAAGTACTTCAGTTTGGTTGGAGAATGATAAGGGAAGACATAATGAAAGAGACCCTAAAGGAGAAAATGAGGCAAAGTTGTTAAAGCCTTTATGTCACACTAATTCATATCCTACTTGTAAGGGGTACAGTTTAAGGGCAAGGATAAGGAAGTGTCATTCTTGGATTTGTGGATTAGAACTCAACTACAGAGTATAGAAATGATTTGAGAAAGGCAAGATTATAGAAGCTTATTAGAGACTTGGAATCCAAGAGGCCACAGTGAATGAAGAAAACTGTGTTATTCTGGGGCATAGAGATTAAAACTGAATCGTATTCCTCAGCATTAAAAGTGTATTGCAGTGATGGTCATCATTAAAAGCAGACCGTGAAAGAGTGTAATCTAAATGTTAGATGTGATCAAGTTTCAGTCTTGAACAACTTGGTTAGTAATGGTATTGTTCATGTAAAAGAAAATAAAATCTCATGTATTTGATATGGTACATTTGGGTACAAATACAAGGAAAATTACAATATGACAGTCTAGAGCTCAAGGTAGAATTGAAGACCTGAGAAGATATAAGCTTAAGTATAAGTAGTAATTAGAATCTAGGGTAAAGAGTTTTAACAGTGAAGATACATGAAAACCCAGGATAGACTCTGAAGGAACATAGTTTTTAAATTACTAGCCCTAAAAATCTAAAGGGAAAAGCTAAAACAACAGGGAGAGAGGGAGGGTCACCTGTAATGTCTCACATTTTTAACTGCAGCCTTTGGGTGACTATAGGATTTCCCTAAGTTTGAGTCAAACCTAGTCTGCAGAGTGAAAGCCTGTGTCAAGAAAAATAAAACAATGGAAGGTATGGATCAGTATCATGCTACAAAAAGCCTAATATCCAAAAAGTTCCCATTCAGTTATATATAATTATAAAATTGGTCACCTTGACAAGATTTCTATCAGTAGAAGTTGCAGAGTTCAAGAGGAAGGTAAACTAGAAACCAGACTTCAGAATGGGAATGACTCCAGACAATCCCTTTTAAGAAATTGAACTGTGAATGTGAGGTTGCTCAACAGATACATAGGCAAGGAGTTCGATTTTTTTAAGGAGAGAGGGAGTGACTTGAGCTTAAATGGTAAGTGGATTATCTTGGTTTGTTTTGGGTTTCTATGGTAAAATACCCTGGCAAAAGCAACTTAAGGAGAAAAAGATTTATTTCACCTCATGGTTCCAGATTACATTTCATTATTGAAGGATAGTCAAGACAGTAAGAACTTGAAGCAGCTAGTCACATCCACAGTAAAGAGTAGAGAAAGGATGAAAACATACATGCTTACTTCTACACTCAGTGTCTCTACTCCTACACAGTTCAGGACCCATATCCAGCGACGATACAGTCCACAGTGGGCTGGGCCTTATCACATCAATTAACATAATCAAGATAATTTCCCCCCACAGACATGCCCACAAGCCAACGTAATCTAGACAATTCACTGACATTCTTCCCGGGTGACCCTAGATTGTCAGGTTGATAATTAAAAACTAACCATTTCAGAAAATTTAGAAAATAATAGAAAAGTATTGAGCAGTTGAACAGTTGAAGCCTTAAAGGGAAGATGAAGGCTTTAGCATTGGGAAAGAGAAAACATCCCAGGGGGCAGTGACATCTTTGTAAGTAAACCCTTTTATTTTCTTTCACATAAAAAGTGACTAAGTTAGCCATAGTGGAGATGACATGTAATCCCAACTACTTGGAAAGCTGGGTAGAAGAATCCCTTGAGACCAGAAGTACCAGGCTAACCCTGGAACATAGCAAGACTTGAGAATAACTGAAAACATGTAAATTATGGAGTTTTACTAATTTAATTTTTGTTTTGCTTTTACCATTTCAGATTCTCAGAATAGTGAAACAACAGCAAAAGAGGACATTTTAGAAGAAAAATCACCAGAACTCTCTTGGGATCCTTCATTTAGAGGTGTTAGTGAGCACAAAAGCAATCTAGAGTGGCAGCAAAGAAATTCTCCTCTCCACAGGGGTAGTTTTAGTCAAGTGATCCTCACACACAAATCCTTAGCAAAGAAAGACCATTGTGATGAATCTCAAAGATGCTTAATTCTAAGTACAAACTCTGTAACATGTCAGAAAGTTTCCCCAGAAGAGAGACCTTACAGATGTGATGTATGTGGGCATAGCTTTAAACAGCATTTCTCTCTAACACAACATCAGAGAATCCACACTGGAGAAAAGCCCTATAAGTGTAATCAATGTGGGAAGGCCTTTAGTTTGAGGTCATATCTCATTATTCATCAGAAAATCCACACTGGTGAAAAAGCTTATGAATGTAATGAATGTGGAAAAGCCTTCAATCAGAGCTCAGCCCTCACTAGACATCGGAAAATTCACACAGGTGAAAAAGCTTGTAAATGTAATGAGTGTGGCAAAGCATTCAGTCAAAGTTCTTATCTAATTATACATCAGAGAATTCACACTGGTGAGAAACCCTATGAGTGTAACGAATGTGGGAAAACCTTTAGCCAGAGCTCAAAGCTTATTAGGCACCAGCGAATTCATACAGGAGAAAGACCCTATGAATGCAATGAATGTGGGAAAGCTTTTAAGCAGAGCTCCGAGCTGATCACCCATCAGAGGATACACAGTGGAGAGAAACCCTATGAATGTAGTGAGTGCGGAAAAGCCTTCAGTCTGAATTCAAACCTCATAAGACACCAGCGAATTCACAGTGGAGAGGAACCTTATCAGTGTAATGACTGTGGGAAAACCTTCAAAAGGAGCTCAGCCCTTGTTCAGCACCAGAGAATCCATTCTGGGGATGAAGCTTATATATGTAATGAATGTGGAAAGGCTTTTAGGCATAGATCAGTGTTGATGCGTCATCAGAGAGTCCACGCTGTTAAGTAACAATGCAATGACTACTAAATACATCAGTATATTTTTCTCTATATTAGATAAAAGGTTGACTTTGATTCCATAAAGGCAGTTTGAAAAAAAAATAAGTGGTCTTCAGTCAGTCTAACTTAACATTATGCAGCACTTCCCAATGCTACTTCGAATGTGTTTTTGAAACTTCCTAGATATAAGACCATTACTTTGAACTTTGCTCTTAACATTAGGAATACTCGGGGGAACAAAACCAGTAATGTATTATTGAGACCTCATTTTCTATGAGAATGTCATGGGAAAAAAGCTTCATTCCATCTGTCTCACTACATCTGAGTGTCTGTACCAGGTTTGTAAGATAATGTGGACAGCATGAAAGACTGCTTAAGAAGCTCAAAAGTCTACTCAACAGTAGCCAGTCAACAAGAAAAGTGAGGAAACAGTTTCATTGATGATTTGTTCATCCCAAGACAGGCCCAAAGTAAAATGAAGAAAAAGATACAAATTAATTTATATAAGCTGAGGACCCTGCCGATTTTCCACCCCTGTGCACTAGGGCCTCACATGCTTGGTATAAGTCCTAAGTTATTTTTTAATCCCTGCTTTATACCAAGGACTAGAAATAGTGAAAAAAAAAAAAAAAAGTAACTTTTACAGTCTAATAGCCATTGCCAGTCAGGTAATGGCATTTTAGTATGGTCAGTCTATTACAGTTGGAGGGGGGCAGGTAATTTGGGTTTGAGACAGGGTTTCTCTGTGTAGCCTTGGCTGGCCTGGAACTCACTCTGTAGACCATGCTGGCCTTTGCCTCTCAAGTGCTGGGATTAAAGGCGTGTGTCACCACTGCCCAGCACTTTCCCCATTTCCCTCTTGCCCAAGAACTTTTTAGGTAAAGGAAACTGAAATGATTAGAAGAATGAGGAGTTAACCAGGAAGGAAGATCGGGTTACAGTAAAGGAAGAGATTTTTTGTTTAACACCAGGAACAAAACATGGACCATTGCCTATTGAGTTCAGAATTGGCATCACATCTGTGAGAAGTATGACTACAGCCAGACTCTAAAGCACTGCATATAAGCCTATGAAGAAGTTTCTATTAATAGATAAAATCCTAAGAGCTCTTGCTCACAGCATTATGAAAAGCTTTGTCTTGGTCAGTGTGGCCTAATGGAAGGCTAGTGGGTGTTTTCCTGGCACAACCTGAGACAATATTTAAACTTCTACAGTGAGAGTAATAGTGCACTATATAAGAGAACAGCCTAGATACACTCTCAGTTCTTCAGACAGTATTGGAGTTGCTGTGTTGGAAGATGTCATAGCAACTGTTTCCAAGGCTGCTTCTCTACCATTTCTCCATCTGAGCACAATTGCCTTGCTCAGGTGCTCAAAAATTGTCAGTTTCTGGATCTTTGGCTTTCTCTCCAAGTGTCATGCACATATCTTGTCTTATGTCAGCAATATTTAGCAGTATCTTGAAATTTTTAAGGACAGTGCTAGAGAAATGACAACAGAAAGTGATAATTATTATTAGGACTTTGCCTTTTCTAGGGAAACCCATCAGAAAGAGTATCCTAAGGCTGGTGCACAGTGCATGGTGGGAAACTGATCAACTCAAGAGCCTTGTCATCCCTGCACTCTGAACAGTCAGACAAAAGGATGAGACATCAGTTTGAGCTACAAGATGGGAGCCCCACCTCAAAAATATTGGGGAGAAAAAAGTCAATTCAAAGTTTGGAGAAATGACATCTTACCAAAATCAAATCTATGTAGAAACAGAAAAATTTTATGAGGACACAAAAGTAATGCTGTCTTAGACTTTTATAGGTGAGTATGTACTATCAAATAAAAATAATGAGCTAAATGCCTAACGTAGATGTTAAGTAGGATGTTACAAAAGGGAAATACTCTAGAGCTCTTAGATTGATTAGAGGGAAATACAATGGGTAATTGCCAAGGGCTTTGTATATGTGTTAGTCATTAGTAAAAATCATATTTTGCACATAGGAAATGGAGGCTATCATACCTAAAAGTCAGAATTTTAACTATTCTGGAAGCACTTTATCCTGTCCATGTAAAAGTCCCATTAACATTTAAACAAATCATAGATGTGCTAGTGAACAATCCATATATGTCCAGTCTTACAAGTTAAAGATACACTGGAATAGAAGTGAAGAGGATTATTTTTCATATAAAATTAACAAGGATTTGAGCAAATTAAAACCCTTGCGCTAATGGGCTGTGAATATCTCTGGCGATAAGTACCAGAAGCCTTAAGCACTGCCTTGGACTTTGAAACCCCATCCAGAAATATATTTAAAAAATCATGAATATGGCAAGCTGTTAAAACAAGTTAAATATTCACAATATATTAAATATACAAGATGATGCCATGTAAACCATGCATTAAAATAATGGAAATATACAAGGCCAAGATGTTATACTGGTTCTGGGTGGTGAAGTTACAGTTAATGTGCTTTTTTTTTTTTTTTGTATTTCAAGTTTTACTGCAAAATCTAATACTGTTTATAGAGGAAGGCAGGAGAATATAGTTCAGTTGTAAAGCATAAGTTTACCATGTTTAAGGCTCCAGGCTTAATCCCTAGATCTCCAACTCTAGGCAGAGCAGGTAGTGAACAAAAGCCCAAAGTAGGGGTGAAAATAAGCACTTGCCCTCTATGACATCCCTGTCTTATGTCTTAACTAACTTTGACCTTTCATGGTTGAGGTAATCAATGCAGACATATCCTTCAAATTATAAATTTCTGTGCAAATTAACATGTGCATGAAGATTTATGACTGAGAAAATCAAGTCATGAGCTTAACAACCTTTGCCATTAGTGCTTTTTCCATGAATTTAGCATGAGATAAAAACACATCTCATGTCTGTATGTTAAAGGAGCTGAAGATGATCTTTATGAAATGGAGTGGACACCAGCATCAGCTGAAAGGAAGTTGTCTTTTTCAACAGCCTTTTCTGAAAGAAACTAACTAACACCCTTCTCTCTGCCCTGTCTTGTCTTCCTCTTGTTCCAGTGACATTCTCCAAAGCAGTGTTTGCTTCTCATGGATTTAAGTTACTTTCATACTTTTCTCTTCCTCATTTCCACAACCTGCAACTAAAACTGAGAGGACTGAATTTTTCAGTCATTTGACAGTGATCTAATACCCTACTTCTGTTTGTGAACTGCTGAAGAAGAAAGCCATATCTCTTGAGGCAGCCTAGGCTTCATGTGAGACCCTGTCTCAAATTCCTCAAAACATGGGACTAGAGAGATGGCTCAGAGCAGATACTGCTCTTGTAGGGGACCAGAGGTTCTGGTCCCAGCACACACATTGGGTGGTTTACTTCCTGTAACTCCACTTCAAGGGGATCCAGTTCTCTCTTCTGGCCTCTGTAGGCACTTGCATTCACATGCACGTAGTTTAAAAATCATCATTCCAAAGATTTTTTATTTCTGACTTAGTATTGAAGATGTCTTGGTGTGTTCGGTTATGTGTATGAATTTAAAAGACTCTTGCTTTCATTCCAGTGCTCCAGCACTCAGCCTAGCTGCCATAGCTTCCTGATGGCTGTTTAACCCAGGGACTAGAAACTAAGTGTGCTACTTCCCTTTTCCCCAACTCCTTCCCACCCTCCAGCCTAACTCCCCTTAAGTTGTATTCCTTTACATGAATGATTTAAAAGCAAAACTTTAACATTTCAGTTTTATTACAATACATTCTATTACATGCTGATATTAAGCAACTGGAGTGTATATTGAACATATAAATATTAAAGTTAGCAAAAAAAATCATACTAAATTTTTTGCCAAAAATATTAGGATTATAGAAAAACACTAATAGGAAGTAGCTTAAAAGTTAATTTTGCTATGGGTAACAGGATTATGGATGACATACTTCTCAATGCAGTCAGAGAAAGGGTTGAATGATATTTAGAACATTGAGTCATTCACTTGTTATCTATATGAAAATAATTTGCTGTCCATTTGAATTATCCCTTTAAGTTGGATCTTAATTGACAATTGCACAATCTTTGAAGCAAGAATTTTACCAATTTTACCTCCCCTATTCATAATTGCTATTATCACCAAGTCTTCAAAACGGGTGCATTTTCCTAAGTAGAAAATACCCTCAGCAATTGTGGGTCAATTAAAATTGCCAAATTAAAATCAAGAGTTTTGTGGAAACTGAGAGGTTGATTCAGTATGTATTTCCTTCAAGTGACTCACCATCTGCAAATGTAATGCTGAGGAAGATTCCTTACTCCAGTGACCCTTACTCCAGTCCAATGTATGCTGTTTCCTTGGTATGCATGTATGACTTTACATTAGAAACACTAGGGTTTTCTTTTACTACGCTAATTCTAAATACTTTTAGATCATATAGGTCTCGTGAGCTGAAATAGGTTATCCAACTCAGGCTATTACAAACAGGAAAAGAAACCAACCTGGCTTCTGAACTGAAAGCTCTAGCAGGAATTGAAGTCAAGATACAGGAATGTCTCCAGATCCTTTCTCCTCATCATGCCAAGCATGTATTATAAACTCTGCCATTAGTCAGGCTTCTGTACTTTAGATTTCAAATGAGATAACACACCCAAGAAATCTTTAGTTAACTTGTAGATCAGGTAAAGCATCTCTGAAATATCTTCCAACAGAACCCTGAATTTATCCGGCAAAGTTACAGCCACACTTACCGTAATAACTTTTTAATAAATCTATATAACCCATTAGCCCTTAATTTTGTGAGGGCAATGACCAAGTCTCTTCTCCCAATGGTTAAGCCCAGGAAGAACCAAATAAGGAAGTAAACTGCAATAGGAAGCTCAGTTGAAAGAACTGGTAAGGGGGCAAAATGAGCTTCCATTCCTCAGATACTAAACTGATCTAGGACGACACTAGCCTCAATTCAACATTTCAGGACTCAGTAACTTAAAACATGCCTACTCTAATCATGCACACACTCTGGCTGGACAGTAATCTTTGCCATTTTATAAAGAGATCTTGCAGGATCTCTGCCTCGTCATGAACTTAAATGAAGGTGTTCAATGACAGTTCCATCTGTAGTAGGGAATGGGATGAAGAGCACATTGGTGAGACTCCTCGTTCAGAAATGAGTCAGTCTTTTTTTAGAAGATACCATTCTTTGTAGACAAGAGCTAGATAAAATTCTTTCAATATGTAAGCATTTTTGTGTGGCTCTTTTTACAGAACTGGGCTGAAAAGACAAAAGTCCTACTGTCAGAAAACTTCTATTTTTTATGGAGCCTCACCTTTAAAGTGAATTCCTAGTATTTCACAATTAACAACTTTTACCCACAGAGTTGAACTCTGGTGTGTGTTCTCTGATGCTGCATAAGGCCTGACCTATGCCTAAATGTTTTCCTACATTCATAACATTCATAAGGCTTTTCTCCAGAATGGGTTCTCTGGTGCTGGATGAGTGCTGAGCCTTGATTAAAAGATTTTTCACATTCATTACATTCATAAGGTTTCTCACCAGTATGGATTCTTTGATGTTCCATAAGAACAGAACTTCTCCTAAAAGCCTTACCACATTCAGTACATTCATAGCCTTTGTCTCCACTATGAATCTTATGCTGAATAAGAGTAGAGCTCTGGCTGAAGGCTTTCCCACATTCATCACAACCATAAGGTTTCTCTCCAGTATGAATTCGCCTATGCCTAATGAGCCCCGAGCTGCCCCTGAAAGCTTTTCCACAGTCACAACATTTGTAGGGTTTTTCACCACTGTGAATTCTCTGATGTCTAACAAGATCTGTTCTGAAACCAAAGGCTTTTTCACATTCTTTACATTCATAAGGTCTCTCTCCAGTATGACTTCTTTGATGTCTAATCAGCTTTGACCTATGGCAAAATGTTTTTCCACAGTCCAAGCACTCATAGAACAGTTTTCCTGTGTGAGTTCTGGGCTGTGTGGTGCCTTGTGAGTGTAGACAGAGAATTCCTTCACCTTATTACACTCAAAGGTGTTCTGTTCTGTAGGGGTTTTCTTGTTGAAGGTTGCCAGACTGAAATCACTTTCCTGAGAAGAACGTGAACTCGTTTTGTTGCTTGTATCATTACTTCCTCTTTGCTTCTCATTATTGTCCAAACATCCCATAGCTTCTTCAACTATCTGTACTGGAAACGTTTCCCTAGGAAGTCTTCCTTGAGATGTCACGGCCACTGATGTAACACATTCAATAATTTCTTGCTTTGCTGTCAATACTTTGTCAGTCACCATCTAGCTGTCTAAAAAATGTGAATAGGGTGTGTCATTTTCATATTTTAAAAAGTTAAAGGAGGAACAACAAACCAAAGGAAAGGGGTAAGGGCTTGGTCTCAAGAAATGGCTTGGTGATTTAAGAGTGTATACTCTTCTTACAGAGGACCCTGATTCAGTTCCCAGCACCCACTTGATCTCAACCATCTCTTGCTCCAGTTCCAACATCATCTGGCCTCCATGGGGACTAGATATGCAGGTAGTACAAATGCATAGTATAGATGCTTTTGTATAGATGGTCAAACAAAATGGATGCAAACTACAGCCTAAAGGCAAATCCAGCTATCATATAGCACACCCCTTTATTTCTAAATTTCTAATCTCAAAACAGTAACTACTAGAGATGATTAGTATAAATTGTTAAGTTTTATTCCTTTAAAAATCCTCTAAAAGTATGCATTTTACCACCCAGGAAGTGAAAGCTTTTAAGGGCTATGGGAAACTATAAATACTACTTGGTAGTCAAGATTAAAGATGGCTAACTTCAAATTTTAAGGTTTTTCCTCCAAGTTACTTACCTATCTTTTTGGAAGCACAGCTGTAGTTGCACTGAGACAAATAATAATTTAAAACTCAATTACTCTCTGGAAAAGTGATGCTTTTACATGATAATACATGTTTCTGATATTCAAGTTTCACAACACCTTAAAAACAATACAGCATTACAATGAATGCCTAGCAAAAGCTGAGAGCAAGCTAGGAAATTAGAGACAGCAAAGATAAAACCTGAACAGTGAAACTTGTACTGCTCTTGGATTTCAGAAAGTTAAATCATTAGTTACAGTGACAACTTATTCAAGAGTGTGGTTTTCTTTAAAGTTATGGGGAAAAGGCTAGGTAGTGGCACACACGTTAAATCCCAGCATTCAGTAGACAAAGTAGATCTTTGAGTTTGAGGCCAGCCTCGTTTACATACTGAGTTCCAGCCAGCCAGGGTTGCATACTGAGACCCTGTCTCAAAAAATAACCAACAAAGCACTAGTATATAATAATGGCATAAAAATAGTGCACATGTTAGGCATGGTGATGCACACATTTAATCCCAGAATTCAGGAAGCAAAGATAGGTGAATTTCTGTGAGTTCCAGGCCAGTCTGGTCTACACAGTCAGTTCCAAGATGGCCAGGGCAACATAATGAGGCCCTATCTTAAAACAAACGGAGTATTACAGGAAGTGAAATGATGTGACCAGAGAAAGTTTTTGACCATAGATGCACAAATCAGAAAAAAAAAGATTTTTTTTTCCCTGTTCCCAAAAAAGACTGCAGGCATAATGGACAAGGAACACAGTAACTTCATGTCCAAAAAGTACAGTTGTATCCTAAGGTACTAAGAGCTAGAATTTTCAACCTGTGATGCAATATCCAAAGGAAATTAGTAGAATCTGTCAAGACCTTAATAAAACTAGAGGGCCAAGTGTAGCATACACCTTTTAGCTCTACCACTCAGGAGCGAGAGTCAAGGATATGTAGCAAGACTCTCAAAAATGCCAGAATAGAGATAGAAAAGGACAGGAGGGGGTAGATATATCTGTCCTAAAAGATTTAGAAATGGCTTGGAAACTGTTCTCTAAGGCTTATCTGTTGGAAGCTTGGTCCTCAGTATGGTGATGTAGCAACTGATGGAGCCTTTTAAGAGGGTGGGTCTATTAGGAGTCCCAATCAACTGCAATACCCTCAAAACAGATTATGATAGGATGTACAGAAAGGGCCCTAACCGAAATGAGTCAATGAAGGTAACACAGCTTTAAACTTCTAAATGCATGATGTAATAAACCAGTTTTTTCTTTATAATGTTAATTGCTTCAGGTATCCCATTATACTGATAAAAAACTAATATTATAGATGCTGGGCTGTGGTAATACATGCCTTTAATCCAAACACTTGGGAATCTGAATTCAAGGTCTACTGAGTGAGTCCAAAGCTACACAGAGAAACCCTGTCTTGAAAAACAACAAAACAACAAAAAAGTATTAGTTTTGGAATATGACTTAAGACTTTTTGTTGTTGGTTGCCTCCTGAGTGCTAGGATTAAAGGCATGCACCACCACCATCCAGCAAGACTTTTATTCTTAATCGAAGTTAAAATTATATTGAAATTTCAAATTCTAGGCTGATCCAATTGAATATTTCAAAGTCAGCAGGGTTTTCTGTAACACTTAGTGGCAGTACAGGTGACAGTAATTAAAGCCTTGGCACATCTGATAGTCCTCACCTCCATGCTCAACCCTAAATGGTAGGGTTGCCTCGTCTCTCTCCTGAATAACCTGGGGCTCCCGGGGTTCACTCCTGCCATGGTTCTCCAAGGACTGCAGTGAGCCACTCACTGTGTGTTCCCATGACTGCTGTGTTCCCATGAGTGTCATTTCTTTACAGATCATTTCCTGGCCATGAGCTGTGTCCTAGAGTAACAAATGCCAGCACTGTGACTGAGAATATACAGGAGAAACACCCACAGCAATGGACAAGATAAAAGAACCAAAAATTCTTCAGATGACTAGAGAAAAAAAAAAAAAAAAGAACAGCATTACAGACCCCATGACTTGAACTAATGGGTGAATAATTTACCAAGAGACAGAAACTGGTTAAGTTCCCTGAGAGCTGAGTCAGTGCTACTCATAATGGCTTTTCTGTTAACCCCAATAGATCAAAACCAACAAAAACCCTTACATCTTACCTGTTGTTTAGGTTCATCAAATTCTCTCTCCAGCTCCTCCAGCAGAGTAACAGCCTCCTCTCCGTTTCCAGGTCTGTGCTCTTGCACCCAGGCCTGCAGCTCCGTAGGCAGGATGGCCACAAACTGCTCCAGCACCAGCAGCTCCAGGATCTGCTCCTTGGAGCGCTCCTCCGGCCTCAGCCACTATTGACAAAGCTTCTGCAGTTGGTTCAGAGCCTCCCAGGGCCCAGTGAAGTCAGTAGCCAAACTGTCTAAACTGCTGGCGGAAAACCTCCTGAAGTTTCCTGAAGACTTTAGTCCTGCCTCCAAACATTTCCTTCAACTTTCACAAAGCCAAGTCCATTTTGTCCTTTTGGAGCATGACAGGCCAAGGCTGTGACCTCTCTGAACATCCTGGGCAAGAAAATCTGAAAAGGCTACCTAGCTGAGGCAGAGAGGTAGATCCAAAAAGCCCCTAAGGTGGACAGTGCTCATGTTACATAGGGAAAGCATGTGCTCGGAATGTAAATACATGTTTATGAAGGGCAGCCACTTGGGTATATACCCCTTGTAGGGGAAAACTGACCTTAACTTAGGAATGCAGTTCACTGCATTTCTACACAGCAGTGCCTGTGTAGAAAACAGACTAAACGGATGTTTCCATACAAATGATAATGTATAGATTATTCAAGACAGTTTTCAGGACGTGAGACAAAATTTTAGTATAGCTAAAATCATGTGATAACATTAGAGATAGCATCAGGGATAATAAAATAGTGCTCCATAAGGATAATCACGGTTTTGTCCCATTTTCCAGTGAGGCTTCTGAGGATCACAAGATGACCAAAGGCACAAAGCTAACAAACAGCAGAGCTGGACTTTGCAAACAAAGTGTTTAGCTCTGTTATGCATGTAGTCTACCAAAAGACATGAACTCAAAATGTAACACTTGCTTGGGTCAGGCAGCTTACAAGAGCTATTTTATGGGGTCTCAACAATACCACTGGTTAGTAAATAACCCCATGTTTTACAGATGAAGAAGTCAAGCATCTTGGATTTGTCTTAAGTCCCCACCTGGTCAGGATGTGAACCTAAGATTGACAATCACTAGCTGTTTTTATTTCAGAATGCATTGCCTAGACTAGTGTTGGTTCTTGCAAATTAGTAATGATGGCAAAAATGTTAGGATTGGGGTCACAGGAAATGTCTGTGAATGCACAAAAAAGGAAAGATTATTCCTGATTATAAATCATAGCATAGAAGAGTCATGGATTTCCTTCCTTCATGGCCCAATGAAGAAGCTGATGGTGGTTTAGGAATAGCAGACTAATGGCTGTCACCCCAGTTATAGCTCATTTAGCCATGGAAGATGGATCCTATAGCAGATTCAGTCAGAATCTCCAGGAATATGACTTAGTAAATGACCCAGATAATTCTATACACCCATGTTTAAAAGTCTATGCCAGACCCTGGAACACTAATGGATAAGAGAAAACACACCTATAGCAAAACAGCCAAGCCATCAATGGTCTGAGTGGATGAACCCCAAAGCCACAGCATGGCTGGAAGGTCTGTCTCCCATGCAGAGTAGTATGCAGAAGACATGGTTCTACAATCACTCAGGCGAGAGACCATAATGGCTTGAGGAATAGGAGCCAAGGATATAGAAAGTGAACAGGACTTAGAGACCTACTTGATAAAGGTTTAGAAGACAGAGGAGTCAAGGCCAGGTATTGTTCTCAAGCCTGTAATCCCAACATTTACTAGGCTGAGGCAAGAAAACTAATTTGTGTTAGCTCAGGCTATACAGTGAGTTCTAACCTATGGCAACCTTGTATCTAAAGGAAGAGAATGACAAACTCAGGTTTCTGGGCACCTCTAGCCGCTGGAAGATGATTGTGCCATATACTGAACTATTCAGTAAGAAAGTTAGGTCTAGCCAGGCCATGGTGGCTCATGCCTTTAATCCCAGCATGTGGGAGGCAGAGACAAGCGGATTTCTGTGAGTTTGAAGCCAGCATGGTCTACAGAGAGGGTTCCAGGACAGATTCCAAAGCTACAGAGAAACCCTATCTCAAAAAACTAATAAACAAAAGTTAGGTCAGATACCTTCAAGGTAGCATTTCCTCTGTGCTGTGACAGATATTAACAGATACTACTACAGAAGTAGCCAACATGTGAACACACACACACACATAAATCTAGGGATAAACATGCACACACACACACTGTGTATATATGTATATATTTAGTTGAGACAGGGTCTTGCTATGCAGCTAGGGCTAGTTCAGTTACCAGCATCCACATAGTGGCTCATGACCACTTCTAACTCCATATTCAGGGACTTGCATGCACATGGTACATATAAATGCACACAGACATAAATAAAAATAAATACATAAA